TCTGTAGCTCAAGCTGGCTTTAGTCTGTCTCAGGTTCCAGGATTCTAGGTCTGCACTAGCAAGCCTGGCTCATAGGAACTTCGTAACGCCTTAAGTGATGGGACCAGAAGAAAGGGAAAATGAAAGAATAGAGGGGATTTCACAACAAGGGGGAAATCAAGAAGTCAGGCATGCTGGCACAGGCTTGGAAGGCTAAGACAGGATTATGAGTGGGAAACCATAGACCACCAATGGGGGGGGAAGAAGAAAGGTATGATGATGGTGAAGACACCCCTTCTCCTAGGCCTACCTTCTTGCTGGATATTACTACACAGCCACTGGTGACTATGACATCAAGTGGACAATGCCACATTGTGTCCTGACATTGAAGCTAATTGGTAAGTGGAAGGGTACTGCTTCCTCCTTTACAGCTGGGTCTCACCCACTGCGCCAAAATAAACCATACTGTGCTCCTGTCACGCTCCTGGCTACAGTCCGCCAGCAGACCACATCCTCATGTCTACCTTCCCCTCCCCTTCTCTCTTTGCTTAGGTCTGTGTATTGACTACTACGATGGAGGCAAAGACTGGGTAAGGACTAACTCTGTGGCAGAAGCTAAGGATTAACCAGGGGGAAGGAGAAAACCTGTTACCAGAACACCGGCTGTGCCACCAGGGCAGAGCTTCTGCCTCATCCTCTACTCTATGAGCTATCTGAAAGCAGATAGCAACTGAGCAAGGACGAACCAGGGTGACTTGTCCAGGTCCAGCTCTTGCACAAAGTTCAGAGATCAGTGCCAGCAAGGCATTTGTCACGCAGCCACAGGCAGCTGTTGGCTAAGCTATCCCACACATTCTTACATGAAGCCACTTTGCACCCTTCACCTCCACCAAACAGAAGCCAAACCAAAGAGCTCCAGGCAGTGGGGCACAGGTTGGGAGCCCTCAGACTGGCTCTTGAGTCAAGGCTATCCTGAACTGTGCATTCTCTCCCGGCATAGAACTCCCTGACCACTGAGCAACAGAAATATGCCATACGGGGTGTCCCTTCCCTGCTGGAAGTTGCTGGCTTCTCCTACTTCTATGGAGCCTTCTTGGTAGGACCCCAGTTCTCAATGAACCACTACATGAAGCTGGTGCAGGGACAGCTGACTGACATACCAGGGAGGATGCCAAACAGGTAACCGCCCCTCCCAGCCAACACCTCTGTGTACGCAGCCCACCCAGCACAGCCACTTCTGAAGTGACTTTCCTGAAGGCCAACCCTTGCACCCTGGCCTGACCGACACAGTGTCATGTGGACAAGTCGACGTGCTCCTCAGCCTAGAGAGCCCCAGCCATTCATGCTGACCCTGAAGTACAAACAAATGTAAAGACTCACTTTTATGCCTCAGTTGTGCCCCTCCCTTCAAAGCCACCTCTCATATAGAGACCCTGTTCAATATACAAAAATATATACTTAACAGGAGATAATGCAAAAGCCACTACAATTCCCTCCCTAGGAACTTGGTACCCTGAGTTTGAACATGAGTTGAAATTGCTAGTTCTTTCTGTACATGGGGTTTGTTTGGTTGGTTTAGTTTTTCAAGACAGTTTCTCTGTGTAACATACCTGGCTGTCCTGGACTTAATTTGTAGACCAAGCTGGCCTTGAACTCAGAGATTCTTTGCCTGCCTCTGCCTTGGGATTAAAGGCATGTGCTAACTGTGGAGTTTTTAGCCTTACCACTGATTGAGAATCCTGGAGAGATTCTGAACTCAGTAGCATGCTGAGGGTTAAGGCCTCCCACACACTGCTCCCTCCTGCCCTCGATCCTGTAACTTGAGTTTGCAAGTAGTCAAGCACACAGGGCCGTCTTTCTGGGAAACAGCTCCAGGCAGAAGCCTCCTGTGCCACTGCACACAGTCGCCACACCCTGAAACACTCCTCTCCATGACTGCAAGTCAGAGGGTGAAGGGTGAGGCCCTGCTGTCTCTGACCCTACTTGTTCCTTTCCAGCACTGTCCCTGCTCTCAAGCGCCTGAGTCTGGGCCTCGTCTACCTGGTGGGCTACACCGTGCTGAGCCCTCACATCACAGAAGACTATCTCCTCACTGAAGACTATGATGTGAGTGGCTGTCAGCAATGTGCCTGCTATCTCAGAGATAAGCAAAGAGCCCTACAGATGACAGAGAAGTAGGCCGTGCAATCTACAGATGCATGTGGATTTTGTTCTGGTCTATGAGAAGTGGCATATGCCACCCAGACCATCACGTGCACGAACAAATCTTGTGTGCAGAACAGGGCCAGGTGCACTGTTTAGCATTCCCTGACCCCCCCCCCAAAAAAAAACAAACAAACAAACAAAAAAAAAAAAACAGCTTTCCTTGCTTTGTGCCAGGTAGGTGACTTCTTGGAGTGCAGAAGCCATGGCTCTGAAGCCTGCTTCTTTTAACTGAGTGAATTAGGGGCTTGTGAAGAGTTCATGATCCAAGAGGGAAGGGAAAGCTGGCCTTTGCTCCAGTCCCGCTGAAAAGCTTACAGTGGTTTCATATCCATTCTGGGCAGATTTCTCTGAAAATTAACACAGACTGTGGATATGCAAGGCCCCTCTGTATTAACCGTACAAACGCACAGACTTTGCAAAGGAGGAGGTAAATGGATGTTGGCACCTCTTGGCTGGTCACAGATGAGTAAGGCTGCACTGTCATGGCACCTGCAACATCAGGAATTGATAGGAGGGAAGGAGCCAGCTACAAGTTTGAAAATAACGTTTAGAGACCTGTGCCGTGCCTGTGTGCATCCCTAATGCTCATGTGTTCTCTCCTCAAGAACCACCCATTCTGGTTCCGCTGCATGTACATGCTGGTCTGGGGCAAGTTTGTGCTGTACAAATACGTCACCTGTTGGCTGGTCACGGTAAGTAGGAAAGTCATTTAGACAAGCTGGGGAGGCTGGGAGGGCGGAGTGGCAAGAACCCTAAGGCGCCCCTCTCCTCAGGAAGGAGTGTGCATTTTGTCGGGGCTGGGCTTTAATGGCTTTAAAGAAGACGGGACCGCGAAATGGGATGCCTGTGCCAACATGAAAGTGTGGCTCTTTGAAACAACGCCTCGCTTCAATGGCACCATTGCCTCTTTCAACATCAACACCAATGCCTGGGTATCCCGGTAAGCACTGAGGCCTGGGCTCCTCCTGCACTACACTCGAGGGCAAGAATGTTCCCTCACCTCTGTCTGTTTCCTCCCCATCACTCTAAGCTTTTGTTCTCACCAACTCCCCCCCCCCCCCCCCCCGAAAAAAAAAAATCTGTAAAAGAGCCTCAAGCCTTGGCTGCAAACCCTGGTCTTGCCATTGTTTAGGTCACCCTCGTGTGCCGTTTACAAGGCTGGCACATAAGCAGCCTGAGAATGTATCCTCGCACCATAGCACCTTTGCTGCCAGACACTCAGCAGGTACTTTCTGCCTGCGGAGGCAGGCTGCTGAGCCACTTACCCATCTAAGCCTGGAGTCTCTGTTGTGTCTGAACTATGACAGCTTTCCTCCATCTCAAGCCGTCCTATTAGCACTGCGTCCTGTACCCTCAGTGGCCACAAGTGGGAGCCAGTCAGCACTCCACTCCCCAGGGCAGAGACCCAGAAGCAGGAGTCAAGTGTGAGATTCATCCTTACCCACCCTCTTCTCTAGTTACATCTTCAAACGCCTCAAGTTTCTTGGAAATAAAGAACTCTCACAAGGTCTCTCCTTGCTGTTCTTGGCCCTCTGGCACGGCCTGCACTCAGGATACCTGATTTGCTTCCAGATGGAATTCCTCATTGTGATTGTGGAAAAGCAGGTATGGCTCAAGGGTGGTAGGAAAGGGGGAATGGGGAGGAGGACAACACTGATGGCCTCTCCTTCCTCCCCAGGTCACCAGCCTAATCCAGGAGAGCCCGACCCTGAGCAACCTGGCCTCCATCACTGCCCTGCAGCCCTTCTACTACCTGGTGCAACAGACCATCCACTGGCTTTTCATGGGTTACTCCATGACCGCTTTCTGCCTCTTCACGTGGGACAAATGGCTGAAGGTAATGAAGACCTGTTTGCTGGGCTGCCGGAGGGTCACTAGAGCCTCAATAGCATGAGATAACCTGCGCCTCACATCTGTTTCAGTGGTCTCTGCCTCTCCACAGGTGTACAGATCCGTCTACTTCCTTGGGCACGTCTTCTTCTTGAGCCTACTATTCGTGTTGCCTTATATTCACAAAGCAATGGTGCCAAGAAAAGAAAAGTTAAAGAAAAGGGAATGATCTCCTTCCCTGGTGAGTAAATAGCTACAGGTTATGGGCTAGAACCACAGACGAGGGGAAGAAACGGCACTGGAAATTCAGGTGGATTTCAACGTAGCCTGGCCCTCGGGGTTGTGGGGTGCGTTGTGCTGTGGGGTGCTGCTCTGGCCAGCCCTCTAAGCACGTGCTTGCCTTGTAGGTGGCTGAGAGCTGGACTGGTGCAGAAACTACTTGTCTCCCTTCTCACAGCACTCCTCACCCCAGAGCAGAGACGCCAGGAGCTGGAAGTCCGCGCCCCCAGCTGCGCCTCTGCCACAGCCAAGTCTTCACCAGGCCAAAGGGGAAGCTCTTGTGGGAGGAGCAGAGGGGCTGCACCCCTGGACTCCCCCATGCACGTTGCCTTATCTCTTCCCTCTAGCCAGGAATCTGTTGTTTTTCTTCTGCCAATCTACTACGATTGTATATGTGCCGATACCACCACCCCCCCTATGGGGGGGGAGGGAAGGGTACAAGGCCCTGCCTGCTCCACTTTTTCTATCTTGGAACTATTACCAGATAAAGTCACTTCTGTTTATTCAGTTTTTCACTGCTAGCATCCCAGACTGCTTTCTTTCATACATGTGCTCTGTGCTTGCTAAAGCTGAGGTCATCAGGGCCTCTCCTTGAGAGCACAGGAATCTAGGAAATCAGGAACCTTCAAAGTCTGCAACACCAGAGTCTAAGGGGGACAGTTTACACTACCATGTACTGCTGAGTTTAAGAACTCAAAACAATCAGGTTTGAAAACAAAACAGTCTTTATAGGAAAAAAACAAATAACTAATATACAGTGTGGGCTCCCTGCTCAGCCGTCTTGCTACAGAAGATTATCTTCCAGCACAGCTTAGGAGCCAACAGACTCAAGAGTCCTCTTTGAAAACCAGGCTCTGCTCTTCTCAAATGACGCCCCAAACTTCCTCAAAAGCTGTGGTAAGTTTAGCACAGGTGAGGGCAGCAGAGAGCGGGTAGTTGCTGATGGACACCATCTTTTCTGTGTACTCCACATTGACCTGAGAAGAGAAGGATCTGCTCAGGCCACCCTCACCCTGTGGCAGGTTCAGACTTCAAGGGCAGAAAAGCATGGGAGAGCTCATGTCTGAGCAGCAGTGTGATTCATTACCAGATCCTACAAAACTTTATCTGCTAAAGACATGGCAGAGTCCTCAAAGAACGCACACTGAGGCGGGAGTGCAGCTCCCACTTGTTTCATGCCCTGCACTTCCAGTTTGCAAGAACAGGGATTTTCAAGATGCTATCAGCTCCTGGAACCCTGCCATGAAGAACTATGCACAGAGCCCAGACTGTACCTTGCCATGGGCGAACGCCCCCACCACGAAAACAACTGGGTCACTACTGGGCACCAAGTCTCGTACATCACTGACGTCTGTGACAGAAAAGGAAGTGCCAATCTTCATACAGCCAACTGGGAAGTGGTCAGACACTGGGTTCTTAATTACCTAAAGACAGAAAGAAAAGTCAGCCTCAGAACTGGCCCCAGGGCCCACCAACAGGTCTCACCAGCTCACCTTCAAAAGCTTCTGAGGGCCGTCAGCTGCTCGGACGCTGAGTTTGTGTAAAAGCTGAACTAAAGGGGGATAAAGGACTTCAGTAGTAAGAAACAACATTCTTCTGCTCAGTGACCTAAGCAGAACAACCCCTGAGGAAACTGGGCTCTGTGTCCTTTATATCACACTATTCTCTAAGATGCCTCACATGAACACTGTCGAGTACATCACTGATACCGCTGACAAGATCAAGACAGCCTTACCCTCACACAGAAACATAACAGAACAGGGGAATTGAATTTCTGTGAACACGAAGCAACACCAGGAGTCTGTCCTGGCGGTTACTCCCTACCACTGAAGGACTGGGTATGTGATAATCACTTTTCCTCTCTTCGCTTTGCCAGTTCATTCAGAACCTAAAGGTCCTAAGGTTTCTCACCCATGAGGCCACAAAAGCGGTCAAAGGTTCTAGGAATCCGAGTCTGGGGGTTCACTTCAATCAGCACATTCTTCTGTGTGTGGATATAAACCTGTAGCAATCCAGCTCTGTTCAGGGGGCTGTCCATCAGCATCAGTAAGCTCTGAGAGAGAGAGAGAGAGAACAAGCACAGTGAAGCCTGACAAACAGCACCTACTGCCTTCAGAGTCACTAGCTCTGCCCCCACAAATACCTGGTGGGTGATGTCTGGTCTGACTTCCCCTGGGTCCCGTCCATTCTTCAATAACATGGACTTGTGCTTGTCACAGTTGAGTAGCTCGTAAGTTTTCCCTACCTGAAGAACAGAACATAATGAGAGCAATGCCTGAACAAACATCACAACAAATGCAAGCCCACTCGACACCTAAGCCAGAAACACTAAGTGGGGGCCAGAAAGCTTTTCAGGGGATTACCATAAGACCACATTTACACATAGAATAACTACCTTACAGCAAAAAAGGAGGGCACAAGTCAGCACATTTAGTTTTTAAGGCCTATGACTATCAGGCAGGGTCACAGAAGTTCTCAAATCAGAGAGGGGATCATGAACAAGACTAGTCACAAGAGCAGTATGTATGTGCTAAGGAAAATGCCATTCTAGGAAACAGCAAGAACCTGCCTCAAACAAAGGAATTTGGCATAAGCAAACCACTGAGAAAAAGCAGGCCTCAAACTCAAGAGTTCCACCTGCCTCTGCCTCCCAAGTGCTGGGATCAAAGGTGTGCACTACCATGCCCAGCAAATAATTTTAATACATATTTGCGTGTGTGTATTTGTTGAGACAAATTCCTAGAGACCTGGCTGTCCTGGAACTCATTATGCAGACCTAGCTGGCCTTGAACTCAAGGCTTACCTTGATCTGCCTGCCTCTGCCTCCCAAGTGCTGGGATGAAAGGCAGGTGCTAGAATATATGTATGTGTATATGCACTATATGTTATATATAATGTGTATACAAATATATGTATAAATATGTATACATTCACACAAACATTTTTTAATTTTAGTTTTATTCAAGAAAAAGTTTCTCTGTATAGCCTTGACTGTCCTGGACTCACTTTGTAGACCGGGCTGGCCTCAAACTACTGGAGACCTACCTATCTCTGCCTCCCTGAGTACTGGGATTACAGGCGTGTGCCACTGCGCACAGCTATTTTTTTAATTTATTTTTATGTACACTGGTGTTTTGCCTGCATGTATGTCTGTGAGGGTGTTGGATACCCTGGAATAGGAGTTACAGACAGATGTCAACTGTCATGTGGGTGCTGGGAATTGAACCTGGGCCCTCTGGAAGAGCAGCCAGTGCTCTTAACTGCTGAGCCATCTCTCCAGACCCTATATTTTTTATAACTTTATATGTATGGGAGTATTGCTTGCCTGTTATGTATGTGCCACCTGAGTGCAGTGCCTATGAAGGCCAAGAGTTCATCAGATTCTCTGGGCTTGGACTTACAGAAAACTGGGTGCCATAGTGTGGGTGCTAGGAACCAAAACTAGATTTGGGAACCAAAACTCCTCGGCAAGAGCAAGTGCTGTGAACCAAGCCATCTCTCTAGTCTTGCTCTAGGAATTTTAATTGGCCATAGCCTTTTTGATGTCTCAATAAGTAACCTGGAATAAGTAATATTAATTTATTTCAAGTACTAGGTATTATTCTAAACAAATATAGTAACTCCTTTACTCCTTCCACCATTTCAATCAGGTGAACTGATCTGCCTATGTCACAACTGGTATATAGGAAGCAAACCAGTGTATCAGCGTTCTCAAACACTGATACAAAGAAGGTTTCCACACTTGCAAGTTATTCTGGGATTGCTAGTCTGATAATGTCAAAATCAACACTCAAGGGTTAACAGGCAGCTAGGTGCAGTGGTGCACGCCTTTAATCCCAGCACTAAGAAGGCAGAGATAGGCAGACATCGGTGGAATAATAATAATAATAATAATAATAATAATAATAATAATAATAATAATAGGGGCTGGATAGATTAAACAGTTAAGAGCTCAGCAATTAAGAGCACTGGCTGCTCTCCCAGAGTGACGGGGTTCAATTCTCAGTACCCACATAGCAGCTCACAACTGTCTTTAACTCCAGTTCCAGTGCACTCTAGCATCCTACAGAGACAAACATACATACAGGCAAAACATCAATCCACATTAAAAAAATAAGTATTTAGACAATAACGATAATGATGATAGGAAGCCACTTAGAAATACATAAAAGCCTGCAGTTAGGCTGGAAATATCAATTACTTCAGAAAATCAGAAATCTGATTAATTGATCAGTTAATGAAAATAGATGGGGGGGAGGGGGAAACAGGTTTTCTAACTATGGGAATGAGAATCAAGAGCCTCCAACCCAGGATGCCAATATCCTACAAAAGCAGTTCATCCTTCAAAAGAAATTTTACTGTTCAGTTTCCATTCATTCTGGTCCCCCCAAGATCTAATCAATTTACTACTTCCACACTCTCTGTCCAAGCTACCTTGACTGTCTCCAGACTGGCCCCTTCCAGCACCACAATGAGCCTACGGCCTCCGCTCTTGCTTCCTGCCCCAAGCCGGGGCCTCTTAGGCGGCTCAGTTTCCCAGTCCTGTTCCTGCACTGCAAAACGCCGCTCACGAGGTTGGAAATCGCCACTGGGCGCAGCCATCTTGTAAGCAGACCGGAAATGGCGCTGAGGTCCTTAAGTAAGAACTTCGCGTCCGCCCTCACTGCAAACTTCCTTCTAGCTGCCATTTTGAAAGAGGGCGCTTGGAAATGGCGATACCCGTGGTCCTGAACTACCGAAGCCTCTCCAGGATGGCCTCCTTCCAGAAGAGGCGGGACTTCCGGATGCGCCATTCCTGTGCGCGGAGTTCAGATCCGCCTAGGCAAGGGGGAGGGCTCAGAAGAGAGCGCACTTCCGGTGCCCTTTCTCCCGGGAGCACCACGGCCCCCAGTCCTCGTGTGCAAGGCGAGGTCTGTGAGCTGGAGTGGGGTAGAAGCTGGCGGGCACACCCCTCCTGACCGCTGGTGCCACTGCCTTCAGGAGGATCAGACATGGCCCAGAATTTGAAGGACTTAGCGGGACGCCTGCCCGCTGGGCCTCGGGGCATGGGCACGGCGCTGAAGCTGCTGCTGGGGGCCGGGGCCGTGGCCTACGGCGTCCGCGAATCCGTGTTCACCGGTGAGCAACCGCCTTTCCCTGGCCGGACCTCGCAGCCCCCAGACCCACTGGCCTGCCTCCCCCAGGTGTCCCCGCCTCCCTGCTCGCTCGTCCCCGTGCCAGTGCGCCGAGCAGTGCTTCGAGCAGTAGCCTGTCCTCATTCCCACTCCTCTCTCCACAGTGGAAGGTGGTCATAGAGCCATCTTCTTTAATCGTATCGGTGGCGTGCAACAAGACACAATCCTGGCCGAAGGCCTTCACTTCAGGTAATGGCGGGCAGCGCAAACGGGCCCTAACCTTTCACCCTTGACGGCTGTAGCCAGACTTTCAGCAGGATTCCAGTGCTGTTTTTTTCCCCGTCCTCACTCCTGCTGCTCCGACATAAAACTCCAGCCGTACATAAAGGGCTGTTCTCCTTGTCTGTAGTCGTCATAGGGAGGAACAGGCCCAAGGACGAGTGGTGAGGGAAACTTTGCAAAATCAGTGAAACTGCAGTTTCCCAATTCCTGTCCCCTACCTCTCCTCTCCAGGATCCCCTGGTTCCAGTACCCCATCATCTATGACATTCGGGCTAGACCCCGAAAAATCTCCTCCCCCACAGGCTCCAAAGGTAAGTGTGGGCAACGAGAGCAGCATGGTAGGTGGGGAAACAAGCAAACATAAAATGAACCTGACAAGGCCGCCAGGAATGGTAGTCTTTGTTGTTTCTCTCTAGAATCAGAATTGCCTTTGTGGGCTTCCCTACTGCCTAGATTTAAGCGTTTTTTAGGCCCTTTTTTTCTGTTAACTTGTTGATTACATCTGTACTCTGGAGAAGGTTCCTCCTCTTCATTAGCTGTTTACTTGTAGACCAAACTTAGAAGCCCTGCCTTTGAATTTCCCCAGGCCTCTGCCTCTTTCACATGTACACACCGAGGCAGGTAGTCCACAGTGATGTGCTTCTCTGTGCTGTTTTCAGTAGGTGTTGTTTATTCATTCACTAATCCATAGGCCTTGAAAAGAAACAATTCTGGTTCTCAAGTCCCTAGAGTCTAGAGGAAAACCCATGATTGTTGGTGAAGTCCACTTTGGAGGTCACATCAAGTCTAGTAGCAAGAGGAGGAAAAAAAAAAAAGGCAACTATACTAATGAAAGGCCTGTAGGAAAGATTTCACAGTGAACAGGATCTGTTTGGCCTTGCTGTTCCCCTGTTCCCAGAGAAGTGCTGGGCTGCCCTTCAGTAAGGCTTGCCATGGTGGGGAGCACTCCTAGAAAATGCTTAGAAAGGGGGTTGGCCTGAGCCAGCCACTGCTGACCTCTCCCTCAGACCTGCAGATGGTGAACATCTCCCTGCGTGTGCTGTCTCGACCCAATGCCCAGGAGCTCCCCAGCATGTACCAGCGCCTCGGGCTGGACTATGAGGAGCGAGTGCTCCCGTCCATTGTCAATGAGGTGCTCAAGAGTGTGGTGGCCAAGTTCAATGCCTCGCAGCTGATTACCCAGCGGGCTCAGGTCTGACTCCTATCCCTGTCTGCATGGCTTCCCTTGGTCCAGGGTCCTGGGTCCTAAAAAAGGCATTTTAAGATGAGGGGGTCCGCTGTAGTTCAGTTGGTAAGTGCTTGCCTAGCAAGCACAGCCCTGCCTTTATTCCCAAGCGTTGTTTATACCAGGTATGGCACATGCCTGTAATCTCAGCACTCGAGTAGACACAAGAGGATCAGAAGTTTAAGGTTATCCTTGGCTGTGTTAGCCAGTTTGACGTGGGAAAGCCGTACTGTCACTGTGGGAAATATGGAGAAACAACTGTAGAACTTGATACCAGTCGGTGTTAAGAAGGAAGTGCAGCAGAAAACAATGGCAATATAATCTTACCCACATCTCTAAAGAAGTTCTTTCCTTGCTTGGTAGGAGGCTAAGGAGATACATACTGCATTTAAAAAAGGGAAGATTAGGTGTCATTGTGACATGTGGCGGCCATGCCACCTGTCTGGTGCTGCCTCATCTGTCACATGAAGAGATTGAACCAAGTTTTCTCTAGTGAATGTTTGAGGACTTAAGTGCCAGGCTTGCTTCCCATTCTCAGGAACTCTGGTACTCTGATAGTTACAACAACATCACCTTCCTTCCAGTTCTCTGACCCCCTCAAACCACCCATCCCTTCCCCTCCCCACCCATGCCGCCAGGTGTCCCTTTTGATCCGAAGGGAGCTGACAGAGCGAGCCAAGGACTTCAGCCTCATCCTGGATGACGTAGCTATCACAGAGCTGAGCTTCAGCCGAGAGTACACAGCTGCTGTAGAAGCCAAACAAGTGGGTAAGTCCCAGGAGGTGGGGCCTTTGGGCTTCTGGAGACGGGAGAAGGGGTCACTGCATGTGTCCGAGTCTCACAGCGGTTCACTTGCCACCACAGCCCAGCAAGAAGCACAGCGGGCCCAGTTTTTGGTGGAGAAAGCAAAGCAGGAGCAGCGACAGAAGATTGTGCAGGCTGAGGGGGAGGCCGAGGCTGCCAAGATGATATCCTTGTGTTGCAGAGCTTGGCCTAGCCCTTGGGACACCCTGCTTCCCTCCCTCCCTCCCTCCCTCATGGGCTGGCTGATGAGACTAAGGCGAATGCGACTGCCTACTGACTCTTGGCCAGGGTGAGGGGTTGACTGATGAGATCTGAAATCTTGGTGGGGTGCCTGAGGCCTGACTCCCTACTGTAAGGCCAGATCAACAGCATTGCTGGCCTTGCCTTCATGTCTGCTGTCACCATAGTTCTGGCAGCATCCTGCAGGGAGGCCCACAGGGGGTGGCCAAAGTGTGAGTAGCCATGTGAGCGCAACCTTGAATCTGACAGCCTGGAGGACTTCTTGGGGAGGCGTGGGGGGGGGAGGGCAAGGGTGTTCTGGTCACAGATATAACCTGGCCTAGATAAACCCTTAACCCTGGCTGCTCACCTTGGAGAAGCACTGAGCAAAAATCCTGGCTATATCAAACTCCGAAAGATCCGGGCCGCTCAGAACATCTCTAAGACGGTGAGTGGAAGGTCTCACTCAGTAGGGCTTCCCGTTGGGATTGAAGTATTATTCGGCTCTAGTCACACAATGGCGTTAGAACCTGGCTTGGATCTCTACTTAAGCAGCTTCCTTTGGTACCCTTCCTCCCCCAGAGTGACCCCGCAGTGTTCACCAGACCACGTTTGTGGCTGTATGGAACTGTAACACCAAGGCTTCTCACTGCCTGGATCGTTGTTTCAGAGCAGGGTCCCCTTGTTCATTCCTGGGTCGCCCACTGGATCACAGAGACTCGAGGGCTCTGCTAACACAAGCATCCATTCCCTATCCTGCAGATTGCCACATCACAGAACCGCATCTATCTCACAGCTGACAACCTTGTGCTGAATCTACAGGATGAAAGCTTCACTCGGTAAGAGGTGCCGCTGTGCAGAGAGCAGAGCAGCTACAACTGGATTCTCTTGCAGTAGTCACTGGGCCCTTGACAGTTTCTCTGACCACTAAAATCAGAAAAATGGGTGTCTGGCTTTTTGGTAGTTCCTTCTTGTATCCTCTAGGACTGACTGTATGAAACAGAATAGGTTGTCTTATGGAAAAGGCACTTTATTTTAAACAATTAAGTGAAAAGTGATGGCTGATGGTGTCCTTGCTTGAGAACTGCTGCTTCGCTGGTAATGACAGTGTGCTGGAACGGCAGAAATAGTGGCCAAGAGAGCCTTCATTGGCACTGGGGGTCAGAGGTCTAGAGCAGCTGGGGCCTGAAGCTGACTAATTAATAACACCTGTTTCTCTTCTGTTTCCTGCTCCCTTCACAACATGCTGGCCACAGGGGAAGGTAAGTCACTGCATCCTTGCTGTAGGGTCCTGGGGCTCGTCTGCTCCCTGGGCCTATCCCTATACCTCCCCATAGTCAGAACTTCATTTGGGAAGAAGGGATAGTTTGGGGTGTTCTGCATCTCACACTACATCCGTAATAACATGAGGGGTGTTTTCTTTGTTGTACAGTGACAGCCTCATAAAGGGCAAGAAATGAGTGGACAGCAAGAATACCACCAGAGGAGGAGCATCTCCTTCTCCACTAGGGAAGGAGGAGCCAGCGAGGGGTCAAGCACACCACCCTGACCCAAGCATCACGTGATGGATTCCTCTGTATCTGCCCTCTGGGATTAGGAAGCCTGAAGACCAGCCCTTTCACAGGGTTCTCCCCCTCCCTGTATTGGCTCAGGGGGGCCAGGACAGTGTGATTTCTTTGTGATTTCCTAGTGTTGTCCCTCTCAGAATGGGGGCGAGATAACCACCATCCCAGGAATTCTCAATAAATAATTTTTATTACTTAAACTGAAACCAGGTTTTGCATCTGAGTGTGTTTATCATCAGGTTACGGGAGGCAGTTGTTCACATGCACCCTCGGGTCCCTGCCAGCAGAGGGCATAAGCAGGCTGGCTGTAGCTGCAGGACTAAACTGAGAGCAGCAGACCTCAGAACCAAAGGCTCAACTGCCCTTTACCCCACCCACACGTCTACCAAGTGAACCAGCTGATTTAATAACATCTTTTGTAAAGCTGAGCAGCTGTGGCTTTGCTGAGCCAAACTAAAAATGTGATGACCCCAACGGGAGCTGCTTCCTTGGTAACCAGCTTCTGGGTAGCGATGGGAGATGTGTGTGCACCTCCCTAGGGCAGTGTTCCAAAGCCCAGCACACTGCCACCAGGTGCAACAAGCTAGTTGCATGGAGGGTTCTCCCTATGGAGGTGGGGTCCCGGGAGTCCAACTGAGCAAGAACCTATTTTTCCACAGATTACCTCATTCTTCCGAAGACACTGAATGTCAGGTGCTGAGAAAAATTAAGCCACTGTTCATGTGTGTAGCTAACCAGAACCTTTGCCATCTTTTTCCTTTTCTGGGTAGCCAAGAAATGGAACCATGAAACACAGAATGCAATAGGGAAAGAGGTGTACTGTAACTGGGCTAGAGGGTGTGGTAAAGCTTCAGGGTTCTTGAAGGAAGTAGATTGATCTCTCCCGATGTCTAGGAAGCCCTGAGTCAGTACCCGTGTTTCCACCAGCATTCCTGGCCCAGTGGAAGTGCCCTGGGACCAAATGTATTTCCAAACCTTGCCGTGGTTCTGAAGGCAGCCATCTTGTCTCTTTCCCATTGTTTCCCTTTGCCAAGTGATTCACACATACACACCCCATCCAGAGGGTTAAAGGTCAGAGGTTGTTGGTCCGGAGGCCTCCATGGTCTTCAAAGCTCCAACAAGGTCTGCTGAGGGAACTGACCCGGGGGCCATCTTTACCAGACAGTGTTAGGAGCTTCCTACTTCAACCATCCAACACTGCACTGGAAGATGGACCCAGAGCCAGCCAACATAAAACCGGACGGCCGCTGATGAGGTGCTGGAGGGAAGCCGCCGCTGCCTGGCTGGCTGGCTGGGGCCTCCTGCGTTCGTAGACAACCCCAAGGCCAAGGCCTCCTTCCTTCTGGTAGGATCTGGATCTACCAGATGACAAATCACACTGGGTTGGGGGAGGGGCTGGGGCCATTGTGTTCCTCCGGTGGGCAAGCGGCCAAGTGGAGAGGCACTTCTACAGCACCCGTAACTCAGCAAAAGGGGCTTTCAGGTAATGTGGGGGAGGAAGGCGCTTGCTGCCAGGGAAGGGCCTGAAGCAGTGGACGACGCTGACACAGGGACGGGGCCTCCATCATTACCCGGCAGTATTAGAGAGTCCCAAGCAGCACCCAAACACTGCTGGGTAAGACGAGGGCCCCTACCCAACCAGTCCACCTCCAAGTTCAGTCCTGGCTAAGCCCAAGCCCGGTGGAGAAGCCGCAGATCTCCGGGCCCCCATCCCCCCACCTCCGCGTCATTTGGGACACTTCCGGGTGAGCCTTGCTGCCCACCACCAGGCGTACCCTGAGTTGCCCCATCACTGAGGCCGAAACCGGCTTCAGCAGCCTCCCTTACTCCTCTACTGTCCGCCCGCGAACCAGCCCCCTACAGTTCCACAGCCTGTCCCAGGCCCCAGCACCCCAATTCACTGCGCTCTACGGTTCCTAGCGCAGCCCCAGGACCCCTCTCGATCGGTGGCCTTTACCTGGTACCAGACCCGCCTGACCCCTAGAGTGGTGCAGAAGTTAAGAAGAAGAAAAAAAAAAGGGTGTCAACGCCCCGGATTCCGCCGCCTCGCGCCAGCCTGGCCGCCACTCCTGCTCTTCCTTCTTCACCTGCCGGGCAGTGCTGGCGCCTCACCTGGGCTCCGCCCGCCCGCTGCCCTGCGCACAGGTGTGTCCTGCTGCCATAGGCTGCCCCCCTCTCCGCCTTAACTCCTTCCCTCCCAGCACCAGCCCTGGGCGCCTCCTCTTGAGGCCTGGCCACCCCGCCAGTCCTCCCGCCCTTTCTTGCGGCCTTTCTTCTCCAACCTAGTCTTTCCCTGTCTCTAAAGGAATAAAGGGAGAGGCCATCTTTGGATCTCCTTCCTGCGGCTCCTTCCCCAAACTAAAAACCCCTCTGCCTCAGGCCTCTCTTAGGCCTCCAACCCTGCCCACCGCCAGAGTGCGAGGATCATCCCTGAGGTCAGTGTGGGGTCAACTAGGCAGACTCTGGTCTGTGTCCCCGTGTTCTCCTCAGCCAGAACTGGGCAACCCCTTGAGAACTGGGAAGAGAAGCCCTACCAGACCTGTGGATCCCCAACCCCCTGTAACAGGCCTCCGGATCTTTGTTTTTACCCTGACGTTGGAGTGCCTGTCCGGGTCAAAACAGTCACCCCTCTCCTGCCCACCTGACTCCCACCCCCACCCCCCTCGGGGTCTAGCCCTCCCGCTGTTAGGCCTGGAGGGATGGATGGTGCTTGCCACCCACCTCTCAGCCGAGCGAGCCCTCTTCTCAGGTGGCCTCTCGGCGGTTAGAGGAGCAGGCCCTGCCTTTCTTCTGTGTGGTTCTGTGTTGCTGGGAGAGGGGCCCTTGAGGCACACAGGTGACGGCCCCACCCATACACCCCCTGGAGGGCCATAGCTCCAGGGAGCTATCGAGTTGCTCAATCCCCGAGCTGTACCTTTCTTCCTCCTCTTTGTTCTCCATACTTTTCCGTTGCAGTTATTTTTTTGTGGCCTGGTCTCTCCAACATCTCCTGAGTAGGATAAGCTCATTTGTCACCCTCAACTACCCCCAGCACGGCCTCAGGACCCGGAACACAGCGGGCATTCAGGCCAAAGTACAATCCTTAGCCTTTCCCATGGTGGGAGCCAGCCCTTCCCAAGGTATGGCTGGCACCTTCCACTGTGAGGAGACTCAGGTTATATATGAAGAACCCAACTCTAGGCAAAGGGGTAGAAAGGGGGACAGAGTAATAAAATGCTCTCCAGTGGAGGATGAGAGCCTCAGCAGCCTCCGTGGGATGCTCTCCCGTGCTTTGGGAACTGCAGAGCAGGGAAGGCTGGACTAGATCCTCGTAAAGATCCGCCCTGTTGTGTGGTGAAATCCTTCTGGGGTGGACCATGCTGAATCTGCTGGGTCATAAGGAGGTGGACTCTGAAGGCCAGTAGTCCTGTGATATTGAGCAAGTTAATTTGATCTCTGCCTCGGTTTTCTCCACTGTCCAATAACAAAGACAGACTGAGAGCTAGGGGTGGTAGCTCATTGAGAGACCTGTTCCCAACCGAGCAGGTGAGAGGCCCTGAGCTTTAAGTACCACAAAAATAAATAAATAAATAAATAAATAAATAAATAAATAAATAAATAAATAAAGCAGAACCTACATTGCCTAGAATTAATTAATTCTGTAGTCTCTCAAATAGTACCTGGGCCTGTTGCCAGTGCGTAATGTAGCAGGGACCATTGTTATTGGCACTCACTGTCTCAACGATCTTTACTACCAAGCCAAGAAGGGCGAAGGAGCCCAGGTCATCCTCTGCTGTAAGAAGGCTGGAGCACTTGCCTAGGTTCCGTCCCCAGCATGGATGAGAGAGGGAGAACTCAGAGCAATCTAAGCCCTAGGACTGCCACAGGCAGCTAGCTGTGTGAGGCGGCATCCAGAATCAGGTCCATCTGACCCAGAAGGCTGACTTTTATGAAACCACACATGACCTCCCAGCCTGCCCTGTCCAGAGTCCCCAGAAACAAAGGGCACAGAGTTGGAGGCAACACACCGTGGTCCGGGGGCTTTATTTACAAAAATAGGAGGGTCTGGCTCTGCCTGAGGACTTGCTGAGCTATATACAAGTTCAGAGGACCACAGTCACTTAAATTACAAGAGGATGGGGGTGGTCCTAGGTTCTGGTGTGGGCGGCAGGTCTTGATCTGTCCAGTGGAGGCCTCTGCAGGGGTTAAGGCTGATGCTGCAAATAAAAGAGAGGAAGTGGGTCAGAGGCTATCTGGGGCCTGGGGAGGGGACAAAAGATCCAGGAACACCCAGACAGGGTAGGATGAGACCGTGACCATGCCATGCACGTCTCAACTGGGGTGGGGCCATGGAGAGACCATGCAGAAGGGGCCGCACCGTGGCCACTTGCAGACGAATGCCCAGGTCACTTCCTCTTGAGGGAACCTTTGTTCTTCTCCTTGTCTGCGGACCGCTGCTTCTTCACTTTCTCTTCCTTCTTGTTCTTGCTGTGCACATTTTCGTACACCTCCTCTTTGTGTCTGGGGTGGCAGGGGTGAGAAGACAATCTGGAGACTGTGCAGGGTGACCCAGCACCAGCAGCCCCGCCAGACTCTGGCTGTGCGAAGCCAGGAGAGCAGAAAACCGCTCACTATCCATACACTAGGCCCAAAGGTCCCAGGGACGGAGACCTCATCTCACACAGCTGTCCATAGCTGTCCATAGCACAGGCCCATACGTGGTCATAATGGGCATTTCAGAAAAAAAAAAAAAAAATTAAGGAGAGAGATAGTAGGAAGAAGCTTGGCCTCGAACCAGGGTCTCTCCAACCTCCACAGTAGCCCTCTCCAGAAAGGACAGTTGAGGCTAGGCAGGAGAGGGAAGATCCTGGGAGAGCAAGCAGGAGCACTCACTTGGAGGACGTACGCGAGGCCTTGGCGTGGGCACTCCTCAGAGCGGGAGGGTAGGTGATATTCCCATACTCCGACTCCTGGCCCTTCTGGGACTGTGGGCAAAGGTGTGGTGGGAAGATGGTGGTACCAGCAAGACTAAGTGATGCCCACTCTCCCCTACCACCCATCAGCCCCACTCTGAACACACTTGTATGATCTCCAGCTTCTTCTTGGTTGTTTCAATGAACTGGGCGATGGCCACATAAATGAACTTGTACTGTGCCTCTGTCTGCACCATGCCAGAGCGCTGTGCCCGTACCATCTGGATGGTCTTCTGGATGTCAATGTCACAGTCTAACCCTGGACAAGGGTGGTGATGGAACTTGAGGGTTAGGCCACAGCCAAGGGATGGCTTGCCCCCCTCTCCCATGTGACCCTGCCCTCCCCAGGACTCCTCACCCTTGGTAGAGATGCTCTCCATGAGCATGTCAATGACGATGATGGTGCCTGTGCGGCCGATGCCAGCGCTGCGGAGAGAAGGCAGCATCATCAGAGGCCTGGCCCTCCCCAGGAAATGGCGAGTTCTCGGGTTAAACCCAACACCAGGCAAAGCTCCAGCCACAGGAGTGAGTAATGTGCACAGGTCATTGGCCAGCAAAGGCGGGTTGTACCCTAACCCTGCACGTTATGTCTCTGCCCCAGTCACAGATGTACAAGCAGGGTCTGTTTGGGGGTGCAGACACCATTCCCCTCCTCCCCAGCATCTGTCCTCCACTTCCTGTCCCCACTTCTCACTCCTCCCAACTGATGGCTACCCCCATTCCTTGGAGACAGCACTTCACACCCGCCATCATCCTGCCTGTCCCTGGGGTACCTGGGCTCCCCACCCCTCAATCCTGCCTTCAAGAGTTACATTTGGAGCTGGGTAATGGTAGCATGCACCTTTAATCTCATCACTCATAAGGCAGAGGCAGGCAGGTCTTTGTGAGTTTGGGGCCAGCCTGGTCTATAGAATGAGTTTCAGGACAGCCAGTGCTGCAAAGAGAAACCTTGTCTCAAATGACAAACAAAACAACAACAAAAAGAGTTATAATTGGAGCCAGGCATGGTGGCGTGTGATTTTAATCTCTGCACTCAGATCAGCCTGGTCCACGTAGAGCCAAAAAAAAAAAAAAAAAAAAGTTACATTCCAGATGGGCTAGATGGCTCAATGGCTATCACGCAAGCAACCATGAGAACCTAATATCAGATCCCCAGAATACAAAAAAAGCCAGGCATAGTAGCCATATAACCCCATCATCAGGAGGCTGGGGGAGGTGGAAACAGGATCCCTGTAGCTCACTGCCAGCCAGCTCAGCTGAAGTGATAAACTCCAGGACCACTGAGAGACCCCATCTCAAAAAGGAAGGTGGGAAGTCTTGTGTGGTGTACGCTGTCAATCCCGGCACTGAGGAGGCAGGCACCGTAGACATCTGTGAGTTCAAGGCCAGCCTGGTCTACCTAGCAAGTTCCAGGCCACTGGGCCACATACACACCCACCCACACACCCAGAAGAGGTGGTATTTGGCCTTCCTGTGGAACTTCATTTCTCTTCAACATGGCAGGAAAGGGCTGGTCCAGGACACACACAGTGGAGAACATACAGTATTGCTCCTCCTCCCTTTGTCCATGTCCTTTACCACCGCCCCTGGGCAAACAGATGGTGCAGACCCCAGGCCCCCTATTGCCTAGTCCATGTGGCTGGGACCATAAGCTGAGCTGTCTAATTTCAAACCCAGATTGTCAAAAATAACCCCCCCCCCCATACCACTTCCTTCCTGTAATTTCTAAATAAAGGCCATGGGGATTTCAAGAAGTGTGCAGTGGGGGAGGGGTGGCAGACAGGGTCTCAGGGATGGGGATGAGGCATCTCCAAGATGGCAGAGCACACAGTTTGACCCCCCCCAGGAGAGTATAGGGCGGCACTTCCAACCCAGTCAGAGGTTAGTAGCGGGGAGGAGGAAGTCTGAGGCTCCCACAGGCCTGCGGTAGGAGGCCAAACTGGTTCCTGTTTCCCCATGTTGACCGTAAGGAGCCAGCCATCAGTGGTGCACACACGGAAAACACACACGGACATACACAGAGACACACAAACACCTATCTTTTTTTTTTTTTTTTTTTTTTAAGATAAGCTCTTTAATCCCAGTACTAGGGAGGCAGATCTCTGTGAGTTCAAGGCCAGCTTGGCCTACAAAGCAAGTTCCAGGACAGCCAGGGCTGTTACAAAGAGATGCTCTGTCTCAAAGAAGAAAAACAAACAAACAAAGACAAGGTCTCACTTGCATGGTCCAGAAGTCATGATCATCCTGTCTCAGCCTCCCAAATATTGGCACTATAGGCTTATGCCACCATACCCAGTGATGAGCAGTAAGAGGAGAAACCCAAGGACCAGACACACAGCTGGTAAAGGCAAGCAGCCTCTTGTCTAAGACCCCTTTACCTGTTGTCTCCCACCTACCAAGGCAAGGCCACCTGGCGAGGCTTATTTGGAGGATCTCTCCTGTGCTGACTTCCCTGCCCACCTCCTCTTACCTAGCCACAAGAGTTGAAAGGGGAGGTGGTGGGCCCATAGTGACCCCATATGGAAGTTGTGAAGAGCTGGCTGAGGAAGAAAACAGCGGCCAGATCTGGGCCCTGTGGTGACGGTCCAGTCTCCCCGATAACCACTTGTGACCAGGTCAGCTGTGGGGCGGTCTCTGCACCTCTACCGGGCAGCGGGGACTAGACGGCTGCACCAGAGAGGCCTCTGGGAAAGGCACACTAGGCAAAGGGCTGGCAATGAGGCTATTTCAAGCCAGGCCCGCCCCCAGGCCTGGACCCCTGAGTAAGCCCGGAAACTGGGGTCAGGGGGCCCAGTCACTGAGTCCCTATCCGTGTGACTGAAGGTGCTGACTCAGCACTGTTCTCCTGTCAGTGGCTGTTATTTTAATTTTACATGTGTAGGCGCCAAGGGGGTATTGAATGCCCTGGGGGTGAAGTCACAGAGGGTATGAGTCACTATGGAGGTGCTGGGAATCAAACTAGGTCCCCCGGAAGGGCAGCCAGGGCTCCTAACCTCTGAGCCATCACTAGCCCCAGCTGCTGCTTTTAACCTGCACCCCGGCTCTCACCTGCAATGCACAATGATGGGTCCTGCATGAGGCAAACTTTCCTGCCGCTGGTTGATCTGGTCCAGGAAGCTGAGGACACCACCGGGCTCACTGGGGACCCCATGGTCAGGCCAGCTCAGGTACTGGTAGTGCCAGATCTCCCGAACCAGGTCGCCCTAGGCCAAGGATGCGGAGTCAGTGCCTGCTGCTTGCCCCACCCACCCAGCTGGGAAACAGATCAAGGAGAGTCTCCTGGTGGGCAGGGCTGGGACACTCACGTTGTCCAGCGGGGAGATCTGCAGGGTGCGAAGTTTGTACTCTGCAGTGTCGTGCTCTTTACTGTTGGTCACGGAGTAGAGCCCGTAGACGTGCTGCGTGCCCGCCTCTGGCCAATATGGGACACACTTGTTCTGAAAGCAGAGAGGGAAGAATGAAGCACGGACGAGGGCTCCGGGCTCTTTCTGCACCCCAAACGCTTCGCTTTTGTTTCTGAAGGTGTGTATAGATGCATACATAGGAGGGATGGTGTCATGTGTGTGTAGATACATACATGGGGGATGGAGTACCTGTGTGTGTATACATACATGGGGGATGGTGTGCATGCGTGTGTATACATACATGGGGCCTGTGTGCATATGTGTATACATACATGGGATAGTATACATGTGTGTATACATACATGGGATAGTATACATGCGTGTATACATACATGGGGCCTGTGTGCATGGCAGCATAAGGATGATGCTGGGAGCTCTCCTCCACCTTATTCCTTGAGGCAGGTGTCTCAATCAAAGCCCGAGTTCATAGACAGGGCAAATCTTGCTGGCCAGTCCTCGACGGGGTCCCACGCACCCTCTTCCAAAGCTGGACTTGTGGGCACAAGGTCCTGTGCCCACCCAGAATGTACAAGGGTTTCTGAGGATGCCGACTCCAGTCATGGCAAATGTTTAACTACTGAGCTTTTTTCCCATCCCTGGTCTGGGCGTTTGTCACAAGAACAGATGAGTCAGCTGATAATCAGACCTGGGATCTGGCCTCCGGCTGACCACGACTACGTAGGACCTGATCAACCATCTAACCACACAGTCCATTCAGTGACCACTGAAGCTGTACCCAACAAGCTGTGCTTCAAACTCAAGGCAGAGAAGATGGGCACAGTCTAGTGAGAGAGCATGAGCTGGGCATGAGCAAAGCCCAGAGGTCCATCCCTAGCAGTACAGCCAGGAGCCATGGCACACACCTGTAATCCCTGCACTCTGGAAGGCAAAGGCAGGCTGACCTTTGTGAGTTCAGGACCTACAAATCAAGTCCAGGACAGTCAAGGCAACACAGAGAAACCTTATCTCGAAAAACCAAAAACAAGAAAACCCAGAAGACTAAGTCAGACACTGTCCATGTCATAGAATACAGGGTGACACACAGGCAGGTGACGTGGACAGACAGCACATCTGAGGAGCCAAGCTAGGGAAGAAGCCAGTTCTCCCCCGGGGCTATGGAAGCAATGCAAGCTAGCTTCACAGAGAAAGCAGCATCCAAACCACGGGCTCTGTGAAGCACGGAGGCCCAGGAAGGCCAGTTCCCAGCAAAACCTCAGCTAGCGCCTTCAGAAGCTAACTGCCCAGCAGAGGCGACGTGCAGTTTGGAGAAGCATGAGGACTGGAGGGAGGCCACCAGGTTTGAAAGGACAGCTCTTCATCCGGGAGCCACAGCAGGGTTTTCACAGGCAGCAGCCAGATGCTGTGAGCTTCTGATAGGAAAACTTCACACTGCACAAGGGGGCTGAGTGAGGGGAAGCCTGGTGGGAAGGGGCTGATGGCAGACGAGAGGAGGGTCGGGGAGGACGTATGAGGAATGTTGCCCTGAGACCCCCGCTTTAGAGACTTTTGTGACGCTGAGGATCGGACCAGGGTTCACGTACTGAGCAAGTGCTCCGCCACTGGGCTAGCTCATCACAGCTGAGTATATGTCGCTCAGGGGTGTTGGGTGCCCAGGAGTCTCGGTGTATAGTGGAGACTTTATCTCAGGCCTTAGTTTCCCAGCAGGCACTGGGCCTTTGTCATTGAGGTCCTAGTCTATACTGGTACCTGCTCTTTGCTTTGAATAATAATAATAATAATAATAATAATAATAATAATAATAATAATAATAATAAATTACAGAGCCTGGCGTGGTGGTGCACGCCTGTAATCCCAGCACTCTGGGAGGCAGGGGCAGGCAGATATCTATGTGCGTTCAAGGTCAGCCTGGTCTACAAAGTGAGTCCAGGACAGCCAAGGCTACACAGAGAAACCGGGTCTAAAAAAAAAAAAAGGAAAAAAATTACATTTTGTGTGTATGTGTGTGTGTGTGTGCATGCGTGCATGTAAGATTAGATTTATTTCTATGTGAATGCATGTGTATGGATACACAAGTGTTGTAGCATGCACGTGCTAGTCAGAGGATAACTTGCAGAAGTCAGTTCTCGCCTTCTATCATGAGGGGCCCAGGGATTGAACTCACGATGTCAGGCTTGGATTCAAGCACGTTTAACCCTCGAAGCCCCTGATCTTCCTCGTGTCTGGAGGTGAGCAAGGACTGAGGAGGGAAATGTAGGGAGCTCTGGAAGGTGGGGCTCCACCTTACCCGGCCTTTCTCCACCTCCCTGGTAGTCATGACGATGATGCGGGTGTTCTCCTGCCAGACCATTTGCCAGAAGTCATTGACCGTGGCCTCCAGGCAGCCCTGGCTGGCGATGTAGGTCTTACAGTTCTCATCCGGACCTAACAGTTGGTTCTGGGTATAAGCACAGAGAGATTCAAAACCAGGGCTGTGAATCTCTGGGCATGGGGCATGCCCGAGCCACCTGTCAGCCCCACATAAAATACCAGCTCCAATTTTCCCCAGAGGCATCGGTACCCAGGGACCCCAAGACACTGGGAGCTCTCGGAGAGCAGCGTCTGCTCCCACACGACTGACCCAACTCACCTTAACATAGTTGGCATTGATGTAGTCAGACCCAGGGATGTTACTGTCGCGTCCTTGCAGGATCACTCGGCTGTGGTCGACTGGCATGGGTTAGATAGAGAAGGACCGGCTTGGGCCACTCCCTGGGGCAGACCCTCCCCAAGCTAACAGCCATTCTTGCCTCCAAAGCCATAGGCTCACAGAGGATAGGACAGCCAGTAGGGACAGGTGTGGCTAAGGTTGGGGCAGAGGCTTCCGAAGCAGGAGCAGGCAGGGCGGGGATTATTGCCTGGTAGTTGTGGGGAGGTTCTTGGGAAGGGCACGGGCTTCCCTGGGGGAGGAGAGCTCTGCTGGGCAGTGGGGGTGGGTTGGGGTGGGAGCCTGTGGGAGGCAGAGAGGGGCCGGGCTGCTGGTGCTCACAGGGGAGAATGTTCTTATAGCGGTTCTTGCTCTTGTTCTCCGGCCGCTGGCCTTCCAGGCGCTGGTGCAAATTCTTGACCTCCTGCTTTTGCAGACTCTGAAATGTGAGAGAATTGAGCCCCCTGCCCCAGGGCGCATGCCCAGAGGCACAGAAAGAGGGCAGGCCACCCCATCTATCCCAGCCCTGCTGTCCTGGGCACACACCTCAAACTCCTCCCAGAAGCCGGCCTTGGCCGTATCCTCTGACTCCTGCTTCTTGTTGAGTTCCAAGACCCGGTTCTCAATGTCTGCTGCATTTACCCGAGTGGCATAGTAAGGCTGGGTTGAGGGAGGGCAGGAAGTCAGTGGCTGAAAGACCTCAGAAGGCCACACCTCCGCTGGCTCAGGGGAAGGGAAGAAGCAAGCAGGTTGGTCCCTCACCTGCCGCAGGTAGACAAAGGCCCCCGAGGCCTCCTCAATCCCCGTCCTCCTGAAGTGCTCCACCAGGTCTGTGAGGCTGTCAAAGGTCTCTGAGCCACCCACGGTGTAGCGTCCACCCTGAAGGAGACCAAGTAGGGCCACCCCTCAGAGCTGAATTCCCCCCGCTGGCACCCCTATCCTGAAATCCAACCCGAGAAAACCTTCCCGACCGCTCTCGCCAATGTTCTGGCGAGAGAACTTTCCCACAGCCCAGCTGACTTACCTCACACATAACCTTAATATGAGTGACCTTGAGTGGGGAGCCGGGGCCAGCCTTCGGCTGGTCATTGAGCACAGAGAGCACGAAATCGCCAGGCTGGCTGAGACTCTCACGCACAAGAAACGTCCAGGGCTCGCCCTTGGCCTGCAGCAGTGTCTCTGCTTGTCCTCCAGACATATGGCCATGGTACCACCTAGAGAAGGCACATTGAAAGGTCCCAGAGTGAGCACTGAAGCCTGCCACCTGCCAGGCTTGAGCTACAAGCTTTCAAATCCACCACTACAATCAGATCCATTACTATCTCACAAAAAAAAAAAAAATGCTGACAGGAAAAAGCCAGGCTTAGTGTTAGAATCCCAGTTTGGAGTGAGAATCCCAGCTCCTCAGGAGACACGAGGATAATAGTGAGGCCAGTGATAATAGGATAATAGTGAGGCCAGCATGATCTGCATGAACATAGCTTTAAGGCTTCACCCTCTTGTAAAAAATAAATAAATGAAGAAGTACACATCTAAGCTTTGACGGCTCACTTTGATAATCCCAGCATTCAGTATGCTGAGCAGAAGGACTGCTTTGATGAGACCAGCCTGCTTGCCCTACATGGTAAGTTTTAGGCTAGCCTGAGCTACACAGTGAGACCCTATCTCAAAAACAACAGCCAGGCATGGTGACACATACCTGAAATTCCAGCCCTGGGTTGGCAAAAGCAAGAGGATCACTGTAGGTTTGAGGCTAGCCTAGTCTACATACTGAGTGCCAAGCCAGCCTGAGCTACACAGTAAGAGTCTATCTTTAAAAAAGAAAGAAAGAAAGGAAAGAAGTAAAGGAAGGAGGGAGGGAGGAAAGAAAGAAGGAAGGAAGAAAGGGAAGGAAGGAAGGGAGGGAGGGAAGGAACGTAGGGTGGATTTGTTCTAATCAAAACCTGAAGCCTCTCCTGATCATTCAGGACAAAAAGAAAGGCAATATCCAGAATATTTGGGGGGGTGACAAAATGAGGTGTCCCCATGAAACAGACTGGGAGGGACAGAATAACGGACCCAAACCACAGAAGGCAGTGGGCACCAGAAGAGACAGAAGTCCAGATGGACTGATGAAAACGGCCTCAGGGAGGTGGGGCACAGACACTTGGAGGAGGAGAGACTAGTTTCAGGGATCCAGGGGCAGCAGGGGTTCCAAGGGGTTCTGAGAGGTTGCAGGGCAGAAAGCAGAACTAGGGACCTTTCCGTGAAGCACCCCCTTCCCAAGAGGAAACCGTAGCCCCACAATGCCTAGCCTCACAGGAAACCACGTGATGGAAAAAACACAAAACTCCTTCTGGGGAGAGAGTGAGAAGTGAGGTTGTGAGGTTTCCTCAGCTCAGGGAAGGGGGGGGGACAGCATTTTCCAACCGCAAGGATGGGGGGGGGGGGAGCGGGGTTCAGTCCTCCTGAGCCTTCTCAACTCTGTCCTTTGGACAGCATAGCTCAGGGTCCTTCAGAGGTTCCTACCTTAAACCCAGGCCTCCTGGGCCACCCCGGCCTACCTCAGGGATAAGCCAGGGCCCCCCAGCAATGTGAGGGGGCTCAGCTCCTTCCCTCAGGGACAGGATGAGGAAGTCTCCATGCAAATGTTAACTGACCACAGGCAGAGAGACTTCACCATGGAGGGGACGAATGCAAATTTCCCAGCAGAGGAGGGGCCAGGACACAAGGAGAGTTGGGTCATGGCTTCCACCCACCCACCCACCCACCCACCTCAGTCTCATCCCTAGTGAAACTGAGCTTCCTAGCTGGTTATCCAAAGTGCCTCTCAGAGTCACCCACAACCCCGTCAGTGGCGGATCATCCAGGTAGTATATCACGCTTCCCCATAACCTCAGCTTCCCCCAGCTGCTCTATCCTGTTCTCCTGACAGCTAGCTGCTCAGCTCCTGCCTCGCCTCCTGCCTCTATCACAGGGAGCACACCCACCAGCTTCCATTCTGCCCTACCTCCATAGCCTGTCTCCTCCAGCAGGATGGATCCTGGCTGGGGACAGCAACAGCAACAAAGGGAAAAGAGGGAGGTAAAGGAGAATCTGAGGGGACAAACCGCCCTGGGGGGGGGGGTTTGCAGGTAGGAGGTGGGGAAGAAGCAGCAGCATGAGGAGTGCCTTCCCTCCCCTTTCACCAACAGAAGAGGAGAGCCTCCAAGGAAGTGCAGACCAGCTTCTTCATGTTGGCTGGAAACGGGTCTCCAAAAGTGAACCACGGGGTCTTTGCCTCAATCTTTCATGTTCTACATTTTTTTCTCCCCCCCTCCCACCCCCGAGAGGGTTTCTCTGTGTAGCCCTGGCTGTCCCAGATGGATTCACTTTGTAGACCAGGCTGGCCTCGCACTCACAGATATCTGCCCACCTCTGCCTCCCAGAGCACTGGGATTACCGGTGTGTGCTACCTGGTCCGGCTGTTTTTTTGTTTTGTTTTGTTTCTGTTTGTTTGTTTTTGCTTTTTGCTCTTTTGGTTTGTTTTGATTGTTGGGGACAGGTTTTCTCTATGTAGGCCTAGCTGGCTGTCCTAGAACTCATTTTGTAGATCAGGCTGGCCTTGAACTCACAGAGATCCACCTGCCTCTGCCTCCCAAATGCTGCACCATCACACCCAGCTTAGTTTTGGTTTATTGAGACAGTTTCTCTGAGTAGCCCTGGCTGTCTTAGAACTCGCTCTGTAGACCAGGCTGGCCTCAGACTCACAGAGATCCTCCTGCCTCTGCCTCCCGAGTGCTGGGATTAAGTGCATGCACCACCACCATCCTTTTGTTTTAGTTTTTTGAGGCAGGGTCTCACGTAGCCCAATTTAGCCTCAAACTCGCTGTGTAGTTGATGATGAACTTGACCTCTTTTCTGGTCTTTCTGCCTCCGCCTGGGATTACAGCCATGTAACACCACCCCAGGTTTCTGCATTTCAGGGAATCGACCCCAGCGTTTAATGCACGGTAGGCAAGCATGCTCCCAACTGGGCCGTGGTCTGTAGACCTTCGGTTCTAAGTTTCAGTCAGTAATGTGTGAACAAAAATACTGAGCTAAGCTTGGAGGCACGAATCTCAAACAAATAAACAAAAACCTGAAAACTGCTGGGAAAGCAACTCAGTGGCAAAGCACATTCGGCCCCAGCAAAGGCTAAGGGATTGGGGAGATGGAGGTTTAGAATCATTTCAACAATAAATACACAAATACAGGTTAAGAACACGTTGGCATGGGCCCTCAGGAGCCCATTAAAAAAGCCCCAGCGTCGTCCCACCGCCCTTCATTTTAACAGGAGCTGTCAGTTACCAGGCTGCACAGACGAGCCTCAGTGGAAGGAGGGACATCTATCTAAGTACCTACCCCTCGTTCATGCTCTGAGGAGACTACAGGAGAACAGCCTGCCCAGCTACAGGGATCATGTCTTTGTAGCACTGGTGGGGGTGGGGGTGTCCTGTTTCCTTGAGCCAGGTAAGCCTGGGTCCCTCTACCCCTGTGACCACAGCAGGGACTTTGCTTCAACCAAGCTCTGTCCAGCCCCACCTCAGCGTGTTGCTGAGATAAGTCCCTGAGTGTCCCAGGAACAGAGGGCCTCCGAGACTTTATTAACTATTAATGTCAGACACCTAGAGCCCCAGACCGTGTGGAGAGCTGGAGGAAGGAAACAGGGTTCCATAGAAGAAAGAGCTTTCTAGTAATAGGGCCAACCTGATGGGGAACACCAGCCACAAGGGGTGCCTCTCTGTCACTCTCAGGACCAAGTTGCTAGGCAGCAGGAACCCTGCAGAAAAGCAATGGGGTGCCCTTCCCTTGCTTCCTCGGGGGACAGGGGATTGGTTAGCTATGGGAATCATCAGGCTATGGAGGAAAAAAGGCTCAGAGCCTGGGCTATAACAGGAGTGGAAAAGAGGTGATAAGGAACGGACCGTGAGCAGAAGGTCACCCGGGTTGAGTGCTCACCTCCTTTACACTTATCTCAAAGGAGAGGGCCAGCCTGCAATGCCCCTCACCTCTCGCTGGTGGGGTCCGAGCAGTTCAGCGGGTACTTGAGGTGGATGATGGTGCCATCACGGTCCTGCAGGATGCCCTGCTGCTGGGTGTAATACTCCACCAGCTCTGTCAGCGTCGCAAACTTCTCCCCTCCATAGAGGTCATAGAAGTCCCCCGAGTTCTGGATCCGAATATGGGTCACCTGGTCATCCACCCTGAAAGGTAACAGGCACAGGAGCATACATGGGGTGGGCTGGGGGACAGGGGCCTGAACTTGAGGGAACCGAGGCATGGGGTGGGCATAGGCAGTCATGGGGACATGCCAGGGCTACAGGCAAGGGACAGAAAGGAAGCAATACAACACGAGGAGGCAACACAACCCCGGGGACCCCAAGAATGCTCAGGACCCACGCAATGCGCTGCCAGAGCGCAGGGAGGGGGTACCCACCTGACTGAGAGGGAGAAGTCCCCCTGATTCTTGCGACTGGGACGGGCCAGGAAGCTCCCAGGGACTCCCCGGCCCTTGAGCAAGGTCTCTGCATCAGGCCCACTGAGGTCGCGGTGAAACCACCTATGGGTGCACAGGATGGTGAGGTAATGTCCCCCGGGCTCCAGGCCACCCTTGCATCCTACCTTCCAGGGGTCCCAGACCCTTACCTCACCATCCTGGGCTCTTGCTGGGTTGGCTGCAGAAAATGTGGAGGGAACAGCCTGGTCTGGGCAGGCACACGAAAAACTCTAGGGCTGAGCCTCAAGTAAGGCTCTCAGAGCCCAGGCCTCCTTCAGCGCCAACCTGCTGTCCTGCTCCCGGGCTACCAGTCTACTGGCCTGGGGCAGCCAGCAGGGCGGAGACAGGAAGGGGCGCGGCCGACCCCTTGGGGGAACTCACTCGTGTACTTCTCTTTTCAGAGCAAGGGAAGAGAAGCAGAAGGGTGGCAGGGTGGGGGAGGGCCCACTTCCCACAGTGTGCCATCAAAGGCACAGGAGCGTGGCAGTGTTCATGCGCCACTCAAGAAGCAAGGACACTTGCGTGTGCCTCTCGGCCCCTCCAGGTCAAGATTCGCACCCCGTGAATCCCCGCGGTCATCAGGTCATCCCTTCCTCCTCCACCAGCTGCTTCTACTCAGCATCCTCTGGCACGCTCTGACAAGGGTGGCGTGCAGGGACACTGTCACTTAATGGAGTGTTGCCACATGCCAGACTCATTGCTACAAGGTCATTTGCATGCCTCCTGTGCCACACACCGCCTCAGCACAGCCTCGTCACCATTGCGCAGGCACTGTCTTTATCCCCATTTTACAGGCAAGGAAACTGAGGCTGAGAAGTTTGAGGAATTGCCCCCCCCCCCCGGAAGCCTTACGCTTAGTAAGCTGCGGTATTCAGACCCAAATAGTTTCAAAGCCAATGATCTTTAAGGATTGCCTGATAATCCTGGGGATCCAAAGAACAGTAGTCCCTTGAACAATAGACTCCTTGTCCAAAGGAGATACTAACGCATCAGAGGGCCCCTCCAACACAACTCACATAGCGTTGTCAGTTGTGGGCCTTTTTCACTTGTAGGACTATCTGTTTATAGGCCTCTTTCCTATACTCTGACTCTTGAGTTGGGGTGAGGGTGGAGGTGGGGGTGGAGCTGGGGGTTATCTCCTGGAGGTCAGAGTTGGTGGCCAAGATTGCAACAATGGCAGATGCTCACAGGGATGGTAGCCTTTAGCAGCTCTCAGCCTGCAAAGGCCGAAGATGCCCTGTGTATGTAACCCCCAGTATGGATACAAAAACTGCAAACACTACCAAGGCCAAGACCAGAGGGAAAACAAGCCGCCCCACAGAAGATTCTCGAAAGTTTCCTGTTGGTGTCTTCCTTAGGGAGGAATGTTGGTTGCTGGGGAACAGAGCTGAGACAGAGTCCCTTATAGCCTTTAGGAGTTTTTTGTTTGTTTGTTTGTTTGTTTGTGGTGTTTTGATATTTTTGTCATACTAGAATCAGAACCCTGGTCCTAGCCAAGCGTGATGGCACATGCCTTTAGTTCCAGTACTTGGGAGGCAGAGGCAGGCAGATCTCTGTGTGTTTGAGGCCAGCCTGGTCTACAGAGTGAGTTCCAGGAGGGCAGCCAGGGCTACACAGTGTGAAACCCTGTTTCCAAAGAGAGAGCACCCAGTCCCTTTAACATGCGTGGCAAGCACCACTTGAGGCACACCTTCCATCCTATTTCTTTTTCTTACTCATTTTACTCCCTTTAGATTTTTGCAGTCCTAGGGCCTGAACTGAGGACCTCAAACATGCTGGGCTAATGCTCTACCACTGAGCTACATCTCCATCTCTTTCTTTCCTTTTTCATTTTGAGACAGGGTCTCACTAAGTTGCTCAGGCTAATCTGGAACCCGCTCTGTAGCCTTGCACCTGTAGTCCTCCTGCCTCAGCCTCTCCAGTAGCTGGGAGTATAGGCATTGCCACCACATCTGGCTCCCTTACCCCTTTTAAAAACTGTATGACGCCTGAGGTGTAGCTCAGGGATAGCATAAGGTCCTTGGTTCTGCTTCTGCAACAAACCCAGTCAATTCATGAGTAAGTGTAGAGTTAGTAGTATGCTTAATATTTATTCACAGTGTAGATGTCATATCTCAAAAAAAAAAATAGGACAAACAAACAAAAATAGGAAAACCAAGAGAATATAAAAACCCGACAAGGGCTACAGTGCGGCTTTGAGTAAAATTCTTGCTTAGTTCTTAGGAAGCCCTGGGCTTCATCCCAACAGTCTTGCTGGGTGCAGTGGCACTTGAAGACAGAGGCAAAAGAATGAGTACATGTTTGAAGCCAGCCTGAGCTTCATAAAGAGTTCTAGGCCAGCCAGGGATACATAGCAAGACCCTGGTAGGTTTTTACTATCCTTATTATTTTAAAATTTAACACTCTACAACAAATACTTTATCATTCTTGAAAACATCAAATATCTCTTAACCTATCCCCCTCCCTCCCTCTCACCCCCCTTTTGGGCTTTCTCTTCTTGCTAATACCATCGGGGAATTTGTATGCTTAGATATTACACTATAAAATATCTGGAACGCCATGGACTCAGATCACCCTGAGGGTCAGGAGGAGCACAGGCACAGTTGGTGCCAGCAGGGGAGATCACCAGCATCCTAGCTTGACCCCATCCCAACCCTCAGGGTCCAACCCAGAGAGGCGCCCGGTGAAACACTCACGTGTACACTTACACAGGCCTGGCTACGTGGATGTTTCCAGGTCTGCCCTGCACACAGACACGCGAAAGCCTGACCTGTTAGAGAAGCACAACTCCCACGCACCCCATCCTCTGAGTCCATTCGTACGTACGCTCTGCTGGGGCAGAACCCCAACACAACAGGGACCACAGGAAGTCCCAGGGAGCCGCTTAGCACTCCACTGACTGCAGGAGACCAGGACCCTCACCACCAGAGTTAAGCCTACATGGTGGCACCTCAAACTCCAGACCCTTGAAGTGTATCTAAAGGGTGTCAAGCCAGAAAGCGAGGCGCTCCAATAGGAAGGAGCACTCTTCCTGCCCTCTGGCAGGAAAATAATGACAACCCTCCAAGAGGCGAGGCTCCAGCATTAGGAAGCGTCAGAGCATCAGGACAACATACACAACAATCCCATTTGAGCCTTTGATCACCTACGGATGTAGGAATTTCTGTCTTTGTTTTAAGCAGGCTCAAGGAGGCAGACAGTCCTAAATGCAAATGCCTGGTGTGTATAAGAGAAAGAAATTCCTTTGGGAAGCAAAAGATAAAAGAACACATCGAGATCAATCCCGATGCAGGGAAGACAGGTCCTGGGTTACCAAAGATGACATACAACCATTATTCAGCTATTAGACTGTTCTGAGCCTTGCAATTGCCACCTGACCAGTGAGTGTCACAAGATTTCCTAAATTCAGACCTAAAGAGTTAGTAATGCAACCAGGTGGTGGCTCATGCCTATAACCCCAGTATTCAGGAGGCTAAAGCCTGGGACAAAAGGCCAAATGTGGAGGTCCATGCCGGTACTGAGAGCTCACCCCCACCTAAGGTAACTTTTAAGTGGGATGGTCTCATGTCCTCAGCTTTAACGTTTACAGTATTGTATGACTTCTGATTTTGCCTCTGCAGGTTCGGCCAACTACAGACAAAAAGCATACTTCTACCGGACAGGTGCAGACCTTTCTTCCTCGCCATAATATCCTCAATAAGACAATGTCATTATTTGCATAGCGTTTACATTGTATTAGGCATGCAGAGATGAGGAAATGTGCATTAGTACATGCGCAGGTCCCATGCAAATACATCCGGACAGTTTGCTTTCGATCTGGAATCTGTCCCCCATGGACACTGACAAATGACTGTTTTCTTTCTCTAGGTAAGCCGTGGCTGTCCTGGAACTCTCTCTGTAGACCAGGCTGGCCTCGAACTGAGAGATCCGCCTGCCTCTGCCTCCTCAGTGCTGGGATTACAGGTGTGCGCCACCACTGCCTTGCCAAACTCAGGATTTTTGCCTGTTAGGCAATAACCCTAATCTTTGTCTTTGTTATCTGTTTATTTAGACAGGAGCTTCTATGTGGCCCAGGCTAGCCTCAAACTCAAGCTCCTCAAACTCAGCCTCCCTAGCATTGTCATGCACCGCTACACCCAGCTGAGACAATCGTATTATTGTTCATTTTCATGACAACACTGCTTACTTGTTACTATCCCAATTTTAGAAACAAAAGTGAAAACTCAGACAAGTTAAGTAACTTGTCCAAAGTCACAAGCTTTGAGTGAGTAGTGAGTGGGAAGGTAAAAAAAAAAAAAAGCCAAAGCTGTCTGGGGCCAGAGATTTGTCTGTCACAGCAGGTTTTTGTTTTGTTTTGTTTAAGATTTATTTATTTATATATATGAACACTGTTTCCATGCACAGCAGAAGAAGGAATCAGATTCCATTACAGATGGTTGTGAGCCATAGTGTAGATGCTGGGAATTGAACTCAGGACCTCTAGGAACACCAGCCAGTGGTCTTAATCGCTGAGCCATCTCTCCAGCCCTGCCATAGCAGGTTGAAAGGGGATGTCTGGCCCAGCAAAGCATGCTGGGAGATGGAGGGAGCCGGTAACCCCCATGGGCAGGTGGTATGCATAAGAGGTGGTTTGCTCAGTGGGAGCCAATCAACGCAGCTGAACCAAATCATACAGGGGGAGTGGACCCCAGCCGCAGAGGTCCTGCAAGTCTAGGCTGAAGAACCAAGAGAGGCTCCATACTGGGAGATGCCAAGCCAGATGGGAAGACTCAGTACCACCCCTGCAGGATGACAGCGACAAGGTATACAGTGGAGGAAGAGTACAAACAGAAAGGGTCACTGGAGCAGGACCCCGTGCAAACAACCCACGAATCACTACAATATCAAAACCTCACCAAAGTCTAGGCTCTCTTTCATCCCCACGGCTTCCCTCTGGAGTAAACACACCGTCCTTTGCCAATTCATCCCCAAGCCAAGGCTTCACACTTGCTATTTCTGCCTGGGGTGGTGCTTGACTGTTGAGCACAACATGGCTGCCTCTGTGTCAGCCCTAGGTCTCAGCTCAAATGGCACCTCCTCTGGAAGCCCTCCCTGCCACCTTCAGCCAGTTACATCTCCAGCATACATCCCTTACTAGCGCCTTAAGCTGTTTCCTTTTCTGAGCATTAGTTAATACTTCAGCCAGCTAAAATAATCCTAGTTATTGATTGCCTATTTATTCATTCTGTCATCTCCGGCTAGAGCATGAGATGAACAGAGATGTCTGCCTCATCCAGGCTCATATACCAACATCTTATCATCAGTACCGCCCACCCGTGGATGCTCACCATTTGTCTTGCAAAGTCTGCTCCCTGAACGGACACAACAGAACCAAGGCTCAGAAGTTAGGGAAGGGGGTTGCCTACGAGTGGGAGAACTTTCTCAGATGTGCCTTCAGACTTGTCATGTCTGAGGTGATGCCAACTAACCAGGGCCAGGACAGGTCCTAGGCAGGAGGCAGAAGCAGAAGACCACAGGCCAGTGGCTAAAAGTGAGAAAAGATACACATCCAGGGTTGAGGGCAAGAGGGAGAAAGACGAGGCAGAGGGATATGAATAGGCCTGGAGGTCCTGTATCTTGTAGTATAGAGAGGTCGCAGGGACAGGAAATCGACTCAGGGCAGGGGGTGATGGTGGTGGCAGAATGTTTATGGCAGCATGCTGGTTGAGAGTGTGAATAATGAATGCCCTTCCACCCAGACTAACAGGAGTCTGGAGGACACAGGTGGTGCAGGGGACTTACCCTCGGGACAGCATCTCCCGGGAGGAGTGGGGGAAGTCACAGGCAGGGGCGGTGGGGGGCGGGGCCGCTGGAGTGGCACAGCTGTTCAGGGATCCAGACCTTCAGGAAGAATATTCCGGTGCTCAGCCACTTCCTCCTCTGTCCAGTAGTCTGTCCAACCAATGGCACTTCGAGGGCAAGCCCCTAGACTGCGGGTCTCTGAGGGAAGGACAGCCGGGGTGGGGCTGGCCGGAGACGGCCCACCATAGCCAGATTCCCCAGAGGCCTGCCAGGGCCTACTTCTCTGGGAAGGGAGGGGCCCCCTGCTGCTCCACCTGGAGTTCAACCTGACAGAGCAGCAGGAGGGCGGGTAGAGGCAGAGACCAGGAAGTAACCCGAGCCAAGGGACCGCCCCCTGCAGAGCGCCTCTCAGATGCTGGAGAGGAGAAGGCCCAAAGAAAAACCATTGAAGCCCACTGCTTGTAGGAGGTACCACCTTTGTGAGCAAACCTCCCAGGGTGCCAAGGGGCCCGTTTAGCCTCCCACACGGAGAGGAGGAGTCTGGGGCTCATGAGAGCCGGTGGATCCCAGCAGAGAGTATTTACCAAGGACCTGAAGGAGGGGAAAGGTCAAAGGGACTCTGGCGGCAACCAGCGGGGGTAGTTGGGACTACAAATGACTGACACGGAAGATTAGTCACAAGCAGGTTTGTGTTTATTGTCCTGGGGACACAGAGCTTCTTCCCTAGCAGAGGACCAGGTCAGGAAGCAGCCACACTGCTGCCAGAAGCAGGCCCGTGGGGCGGCAGTGTCATGGGTGGCAGGAACAGGGCTTTCAGCTTGCCGGACAGGCTGGCAATCTCGGGATCCTGGGCTTCGTAAGACTTGACCAGGCGGGCAAACTTAAGGACACCTGCAAGAGAAAGCAAGTCAACCCACGCTGGGGCAGACCAGCATGCCAAGGCAGGGAACGTTCTCCAGAGTACATCTCTATCTCTCTCTCTCTCTCTCTCTCTCTCTCTCTCTCTCTCTCTTTGTTTTTTTTTTTTTTTTTACTTATTTATTTTTACTTAAGGTGCATTGGTGTTTAGCCTGCATTTATGTCTGTATGAGGGTAGGGTGTCAGCTCTGAGAGTTAAAGATAGTTGTGAGCTGCCATGTGGGTGACTGGGAATTGAACCCGGGTCCTCTGGAAGAGCAGTCAGTGCTCTTAACCGCTGAACCATTTCTCCGGCCCCCAGAGTACGTCTCTTAACCAGGCAGCCATCTGCAAAAGAAGACAGTTGTCCTGCGTGGCTTCGGTCAGCCCCTCTCCAGTTTTTACTAGGCACATCTGAACACAATAAGTAAATGCCCTAAAGCAGCAGGGCATGGTGACACACGCCTTTAATCCCAGCACTTGAGAGACAGAGACAGGTGCATCTCTGTGAGTTCAGGGCCAGCCTGGTCTCCAGAGCGAGTTCCAGGACAGCCAGGGCTACACAGAGAAATTCTGTCTCAAAAAAAAAAAAAAAAAAAATTACGATTTTCACTCTCAGGTGAACCATGTTTAGCAGTCTGAATCTGAGTGAGATTCCCAGGTAGTCCCAAGCAGCCCCTGGCTAGCTAGGCCAAATCAACCAATGAACACATGTCCTCGGGAAGAGAACTCAACCTCTACCACCAAAACTACTAACCAAAATTCCTTGCAGAAGCCTGCTGACAGGCAGACAAAGAGTTCAAGTTAGAGCCGGGCTTGGTGAGTCAAGCCTGTAACAGCACCTACTCAAAAGGCAGATAAAGGAGAGTGTCTGGTTCAAGGCCAGTCTGGGCAACTTAGTGAGACACTGTTTCAAGAGCTAGGTGGATGTAGCTCAGTCGTGGAGAGCTTGCCCGGCGGAAGGCTTGGAGTTCAGAGGCAGAACTTTAAAAGAGGGAAGAAGAAAAAAAAAAAAGTGCTCAGGTTAGGCTCTGAGTGCCAGCGTTTGCTGTGACTGCCGCCCTGTGGCGAGAGAGAGAGATCGACTCAGGGTCCCCTCCTCCCCCCGATCATGCGCCCCACCCCCAGTGCGTCCCTCCGCCGTGCCATGCGGGACCCACCTTCCCCGTCGCAGCTGAAGCCGTAGGCTTTAATAACCTCCTGCTGGATCTGCGTGGCCACGGGCAGCACGAACTGCAGCATCTTGCCCATGTCGTTGCACGCATTGTCTCTGGCCTCGTCCATGCGCACGGCGTTCTCCGGGGCCGAGAACGCCTGGATCACCTCCGCCAGGACCACTGCGAGACGGAAGCATCCCGGAGAGGCCGGAGGAGGGAAAGGGGGGGGGGGGGGAAGGGGTTGGAGGTTAGCGGCCCGAGGCCTCGTCAGCAACCCGAAAAGCTCGTCCTCCCGACCCTGGTCCCTGCTGGGCGAGGGGACCCCACTTGGAGAAGGGAAGCACAGTACTGCGCCCTCCCCTAGAGGCGGCCCACGCCCAGGCTGGGCTCCTCACCCTTGGCCTGCTCTGCGCTCAGGGCCACGGGCTGGGCCGAGGCAGACGCCATGGGATGCTGGTCGGGTGGTGGGAACAGCGGAGCGGCTGCCGGGCCGGCGGAGGCGGAAAGGAGGGAGGCGGAAGTGGCTGGGCGAGCGCGGCCCTGACACACACGCACACACACGCGCTTCCCCGAGGACCCCCGCGGGGCCGAGGGCGGCTGCGCACCCGCTGGCTGCTTTTTGGACACAGGGAGGTGGAGGGGTTTTCCGACGCGAGTCAGAAAACCTGCTGGACAAATTCTAAAAGAGCTGTAACACTTTGCGGAAGTGGCGCTGCGGCGAGCCCGGGACCGACCCAGACTCCACTTTCGGTGAGGGTGAGACCCGGGGGGGCGTCTCCCCAGCCTCCTGCTAACGTGTGAGTGACGAGGCACATTTTGGTACCCGGCCCGGTGGATGATACCCTGGAAGACTGCTAAAACCGGTCGTTTCTTGAGTTTGCGACCCCGGGATGGAGGCTATGCAAATGAGCCGGCGCCTGATTGGCTGAGAGCAGCCAATCGCAGTCGCCTCGTTGTTAAGGGCGAAAATAAGGCTTCGCAGTAATGAAAGCTTGGAGTCGTGGGCGGTGTGGCCCGATGCCTCGTGGTCTTATCCTTACCGGCTCTCGTCACCCATCCATCTCCTCCGCAAACTGCAAGGACTCCAGAACGTCAGGCCTTGAACCACTTCAAGTTCAATGCTCTGAGGGCAACTCCCCCCCACCCCCGCCTCATTAAAAATAAAGGGAGTCGGGCATGCAAGCCTTCAATCCCAGCACTCGGGGAGGCAGAGGCAGGCGGATTTACGTGAGTTCGAGGCCAGCCTATTCAACAAAGCGAGTCCTGGACAGCCAGGGCCACAGAGACAAACCCTGTCTCGAAATACGAGAAGAACAAAAAAAAAAAAGAGTTGCAAAAATGAACCACCCTGCCTGGCAATTCTCAACTGCTATAATTCAGGCTACAGGGGATCCCACACCTTGTGGCCTCCGTTGGGCCCTTGCATTCATGAGTACAGATACGGACCCATACACATAATTAAAAATAAATCTTGGAAGAAAAAAGGAATATTAATCTTATATTGGCCTACTTGAAATGATGCAAATTCAACTGTTTCAAAACCATTTATCTAGCGATGCTATGGAAATGGAGTCAGATTTCTGAAACTTTTGTTTCCGGGGCACTCTGGTGGCACGTTAGCTCAGGGACGTAAGTACTATCAGTCTGAGCAGTGTTTAGATTTGGCCATGCTTGTTGTGGGCCTGATCTTGCTCTGAAAGACCTCAGCTGCTTTACCTTCGCCATCTGGGTCGAAGTCAAGGACCTAGTATGGGGCACCGCCCCCCCCTAAGCACAGCTGAGAATCCAACTCCTCAGTTCCCGTCAGAAAACCCCATCCCTCCCCACTTCCCCCACAACAACCAGAGCTCTCTCGCCCTTCCCACCCCTCCAGATCCACACCCCCCAAAAAACAAGCCACAGACACACTCCTGGGGAACCGTGAGGATGCTTTTGTTTGTTTGGTTTTGGTCAGGATGTTTTTTTTTAAAGAGCATCATATAGATATTTATATATATAAATTATTAATGTGGGGCGGGCAGGGGGCACGCATCGCCGAGGGGTGCACACACAGGGGTGGGGCAGGGGCGGCACACAATGCTACGCAAAACAGCCACATCTAACAGATGAAATAATCACACCAACAGGTTAGGGGAGGCGCGGTGGCCAGCGACGATTGGGCATAGAGGAGAAGAAAGGCAGGGGATGGGAAGAGGGATCCGGTCCAAGATACTGTGCACTTTCCGTCCCCACCCTTGCCACTTCCCACCTCTGTACACAACCCAGGGCCTTGGCCCTGTCTGTCCCTTCTTCCCTCCCTCCCTCTGCCCAGCTGCAGAGACTCTGCAGGGGGGCAGCACCCTCTCCTCGGCTGGGGTGGGTGGGGGGTAGGTCAAAAGGTTGGGGGAGGGTCCTCCAAGGTCTGGATGAAGGAGCAGCGGGTGCTCTCTGGATGGCAGGCTCTACAGCGGCTTGTCGCTTTCCTTCTTCAGGTGACTAGGTAAGAGGCAACACATCACAGAGAGGAGACGGAGAAAGGGCCGTACCATGTTGCACCCAGCTCCCCTTGTGCTCCAGGGGTAACCTCAGTACCTGTAGTAGTCTTCCTGCGCAGGGAGTGGCACGCTGTGCAACGGGTGATGGGCGTGTAGCCACTGCTGCTGTTCCAGCGCCAAGCGCTGCAGCTCTGCCGACTGTGCGTGCATGGCCTGCAGCTGATGAGCTGCTGACATGGGAGCAGAAAGGGAGGCCGGCAGGTCCCGGTAAGGGGCAGCTGTGAGAAGAAACCACAAGAGTATGACTGATGACTGGCGGGGACAGCCAGCCACTCTCCGGGCAGACAAAGGAAGCTAAGGCGAAAACGTAAAGCCACACCACCTATCCAGAGTCTGCCAGTGGTGGGACGAAATCAGAAGTCCAGCCGCTTTGTCTGGCCCTAGAACTGAGGCTCTTGTACAAGGACCTCCGCTTCTCTGTTTCTAACTTAGCTGTACACGGCTCTCTCCAAACTCCACTCAGCCCGTTCCACCACCCACGTCCCTCTGTTCTGGCCTTCCCTCACTTGAGCCTCTCCACCCCAACCTCCATCCTTACCAAAGAGCTGGTGACGAAGAACTTCGTTCTCGTGCAGAGGGTGAGGAAGAAGGGGATTAGGGAGGGTCCCAGCTGGGTAGGGGATCCGGGTAAGGTGAGACCCTGAGGCCAGGGGGTCAATGAGAGGGTGCACCGAGGCGGAGGCTGGAGAGCAGAGAAGAGGATGGTGTCACCAGAAGGCAGGGGTAGGGACAAGCATGCATTGGGGTAGAGGGATTCCCCCTGTGAAAAGACAGACACTAGGGATCCAAAGCGGAATGAAGACAGAACAGAAGGGCTAGAGACCCTCCGAGGTGGACAGAAGAAACTCTGGAGCCACAGATGAGGAAGACAGGAGATTACAGTTAACAGACAGCTCTCACGAACAAAGAAAAGAGTGGATTACTCTGAAGGGATGAAGAATAAATTTAGGAAAACTTTTTTTTTTAAGTTTAAGAAGTGAAACAGGAAGAAATATTAAGAAGTGGGTTGAATATGAACAGAGGGCGATGTATAAAAATGCCAAAAGCCACCCAGTCATGGTGGTGCACACCTGTAATCCCAGCACTCTGGGAGGCAGACGCAGGTGGATCTCTGAGTTTGAGACCAGCCTGGTCTTCAAAGCAAGTCCAGGACAGCCAAGGCTACACAGAGAAACCCTGTTGTCTCAAAAACAAAAACAAAAATACCAAAAGCCTGTTGTTTTGTATACTTAGTAAAATAAATAAATGCTCTAATGAGGGAGGAAGATGAGAAGAAACAAAGAACTCAAAACGAACAAGTCTAAGGCCAACCAGGAAGTGTTCTGAGCTAGAAGCACCCTAATAAGACAGTGCATAAAGTTCAATATTGCTTATGGCATCCAAACCAAAGTTATATGGGCTTTCCTAAAAAGTCTAAAATCTATAGATGGACAGAAACACAGAAGACCCCTAGATATGAGGAAAGGAGATGCTGGCAACAAACAAGATTGGTACAGAGAAACAAGAACTTTGAAATGGGAGCAGCTGGGAGAACGAGGATAGGAAGACAGAGAAGGTGGTTGTCCTTCAAAAGGCTCCAGCTTGGTTTGAAGGAAAAGTCAAGGAAGCAAAGATCAGAAAAGTACTCTCAGGAGAGTGTGACTGAGGTCAGACCTAGGAGGGGGAAGCTCTGGCTAGAGGAACGGAAGAACGTTAAGGGATACGGTGGAGCCATAGTCCAAGGCAGGAGATAGAGTGTCTTACCCGCGTGGATGGCGTCCTGCTGGTGCAGGTGAAGGTGAGAGTGGATGTGGGAGTGCTGGTGGTGATGGGGAGTCACGTTGAGCATCTGCAGCCGGGCCAGTGGGTCATTGCCAAGGGCTGCCACCCTTTCTGCATGCTGCCTTTCAGCTGCCAGCCGCTCAGCATAAGACATGTCAGGACGCAGGGCTGGCCCGGCTGCCAGCGCTAGCCGTTCTCGCTCCAGGGGTCCCAGACTCGGATGAAAAGGGAAAGGATGCAGGCCAGGAGGCCCCGGCTGTAGAGCCAGGCCCCCGTGTCTGGGGAAGGGATCCAGGCCTGGCCCGGGGACCCCATGTAGGGGTTCCAGCTCACTGGGCTTCACCTCAAAGCCAGGCTTGAGCCTGTCACGGAGGTCACGTTCACGGGCTTCCCGCTCCCGTTCTCGGGCAGCCGGGTCGCTGCTGTACAGGGCTGGGACATTGTAACCCAGAAGCCCCGGGTCCACTGCCCCCAAGGGCACATAGAATGGGTGGTTGCGATTGCCAGGAGACATGACATGAGGTCGAGCATATTCACTGAGAGTGCGCAGGGCTGGAGTATCAGGACCCAGGTAAGGGGGCACCGTAGCCACAGCGCTGCCAGGCTCAAAGGGAGGCCGATGGGGCACTGGACCCAGAGAAGGGCACTCCACTGGAGCACGGCCCTCCTGGGCCAACTTCTGCAGGATACAGAAAGAGGTGGAGTCAAAATAGCAGATACGGAAACAGTTGCTGGCCCCAGGTTGCCCTTCTGTGTCAGTCAGTGGTCCAAAACCAAAATGCCTCACCCCACCCCGGCTTTCTTTTTCTTCTGCCTGGGAGCCTGAGCTTCCGGGGCTGCAGTGGCTCCTCCCCTCCGCCAGGTGGCGAAGCGCCTGGGCTCCGATCAGCCCGGCAGCGGGAGAAGCGCGCGGCGCACCTTGTGACGCACTCACCACGCTGCGCTCCAGCTCGCGCTCTTTCTCGCGCTCGCGCTCCTTTTCGCGTTCCCGCTCGCGCTCGCGCTCCTTCTCCTCGCGCGCGCGCTGCTCGGCCTCGCGCCGCACTTTCTCCACCAGGTCGGCGCGCTTCTTGGCCAGCTTGGAGCCCTCCAGCGGCACGAAGTACAGGTCGCTGCGCGCGCACGAGTTGAAGCCACGGTCCAGGTGCTTATTGAACCTGCCGGGGGCGGAACTGTGAGGCCGAGCCTCGAAAGCAGCCCCCCGCCAGTCTCCGAATCTAGTAGCGCGGTGAAACACGAACGCAAGGCCCCTGCCGTCCCCTTCCGTCTTCCGCTTCTAGACCCACCCGCCCTAGGGCCCGCGGTTGCTCACCTGGCTGACTGGCTGGCGTGGCTGGGCACATCCACCACCTTGGGAGGGGGCGAGGGGCTGCGGGCCGGGGGCACCGGGCTCTCGGGCGCTTCATACTCTTCGGCTGGCTCCTGTTTGATCTGC